CAGACATTAATGTGCCATCTGAAAGAAATAATAGTGGTACCTCTCAGGTTGAGTACTTAATCTGTTCCAGAGGTCCGTACTTAACCTGAAACTGTTCTTAACCTGAAGCACCACTTTAGCCAATGGGGCCTCCAGCTGCTGCCGTGCACCGGAACACGCATTTCTGTTCTCATCCTGAAGCAAAGTTTTTAACCTGAAGTACTATTTCTGGGTTAGCAGAGTCTGTAACCTGAAGCGTATGTAACCTTAAGCATATGTAACCTGAGGTACCACTGTACAGTAAGAATGTATATCAGAGTAACAGAAATTCATTAGACACCAACATTTGGGAGCCTCAAATGGGTGCTTCTGTGGGATGGATGCTTCTATATTTGCAGGGGCTGGGGGGGAGGGGCAGCATTCACATGATGATGCCAACCTGTCCCTGCTCTGTCCCTGAAGTTTAATCTGGATTCATCCCTTCTGGGGGAAACCCAGAGTAGAACATCACCACCACAACCATCGTCAATGACCAGTTGGCAAGATCTTAATGACCCATTTGCAAATTATTCCCCTTCTATAAGTACCTTTTGTGTCGATAACATGAAAATAGATAGGTAATTACATAGTATAATTGGAGCATATATTCTACAGAAGAATTCCAGTTTGGCCTTTCCATGTTTGATTTCTACAAATGTGGGGCTTCCATTGCCATTTGCTTTATTTCTTTTATACAAGTGCCCTGTTTTGTCATAATCTGGGTCTGGAGCAAAGAACAACATATTATTAAAAGTAATATTTAAGAATAATAAGCTAAAATAACAGTTATTGTGTTGCTACATAATATCTAGAAACTGTTATGAGCACTGCATCCCTTACTTCCTTAGCATTGACCTGTGACATTCTTGTTCCACCAAAAGCTCTATTGCTGTTTCTGAAAGATGGCAGGTCCTCTAGAAGGTGAATTTGTATTAATGTAAAAGCTACAATGGCTAAGAATCCTCTCTCTGTGTGCCAAGTCCCAGATAGTATTGTGAGGTGGAATTCTAGCTTATCACTCTCTGTCCTGATCATTTGTGCTCATTTTATTTGTTCAGACCATAAATTAGGTTTGAATAATACTCAAAATTTAAATTTCTCTACAAATGCCACAGGCTAGAAGTGAGATATATGTAAAAATGCTTCTGAAAATAATGTTTCGAAAAGAATAATTTTTATCTGAGGCATGATGTTACTTACAGAAGTCCCATACTGTGACTTCACTTTTGGTATTTTTATACTCAGGAAAACATGTTAATTTTATAATCTAAAAACAGTTTTTAAAATGTGAAAATGAAATACACGTTCTGTCTCTTAACATGTTTTCAAATGTACATGTCTAAAGAATGGCATAGAGGAGATTAATCAAATGAAGGCTTCTATAATTTACTTCCTCTGGACTAGTAAAGTTAGATTTAATAGGACTTCTTCAGAGTAAAAGTTGTGGATTGTAGCCAAAGAACTGCTAGTAACTGCAGACATAGTGAATTTATTGTTTCTATGACTGAATAATTAAAGCAGAATCTAAACTCTAGCAAACTATGTGTCTGAGACATTTTACATCTGCTTTGGGCAAAAGCAGCAGAATATTCCCACAAAGCGGGAAGACACCTCCCCGGCCCTCCTTACTTAGGCTTTACAAGTCATATTTATAAATGGGAAGCCAATGGATTTTGTTTCATTTTTTACATGTATCTTTGCAGCTGATACTAAAGCAAAGCCACACAAAACTAGTCCTAATTAATGTATACTTTTTATGATATAAAGTACCCAGGGCAATGAGGTGGAATCTTAATTATTACTTATGCATCCACTTGTATATTTAATGAACAAGTCTGGTTTAAAGAAATGTATTCATTTTTCTTCTAAATACAAATAAAGCATGAGCATTCATTTCAAAACGGTTTAAAATGGTGCATTTTAAAATTTTCTCTGTAATGACTGATGCCTGTGCATCTGTATGTAACATGGCCTTAGTAGAGATTGTAGGCTGCCAGTTGCATTCTGGTCTTTACCTGTAAATCTTATAATCTTACTTATAAGCAGGAAACCTAAAAATATTGTTGTCTTCAAATAATGAATGTATCTTTCCCCACATTTTCTGCAACTCTACAAATTATACATGTCATTATAGGTTTGCAGTCTGCATTTATATCTTTATAGTATTTTCTGCAAAATAGCTTTGCTATTGTTGTCCATTGGTGTTTCATTGGGGGCCCACAATGTACAAAGCCTTTTACATATTTCATGTGTGCATTAGGACATATAAAATAATGTTGTGCTTTACATAGCTGAGGGAAAGTGTTCACATTGTTCTGAAACAATGTAAAGTTATGAAGTGCTCAGATAATGTTCATCTCTCTCTCTCTCTCTCTCTCTGTCTCTCAAAATGCCTAAAATATTCTACCCCTGGAAAAAAATGAAATAAGAAAGGATTATTTTGTCTTGTAATAGATGGGGGGGTGTGGAATGAGCCTTGGGGGCTGCATTTAAGGCAGCAGGCTGGACTAGGACCCAGATCGTCAAGTAAGTGACATTAAGTTGTGGTCAAGAGAAGCGAACTGAACCAGAAGCTGGCAATAAAGGCTGGGTCTGAGTTTACTTTGAATATGCAGTGTGGGGGCACAGCCCAGCAAAACAAATACTGAACATCTGTTTAACCTACAAAATTAGCAAGCTACGACCAGAATGGAGTTGGTTGTTTAAAGAAGCACCAGCTCCTCACAATCTCTTCCCCCACTTTTAAAATCCTTTGTAACAAATGCAGACCTGCAAAGTTCAGAATGAGGACCACACAGTTTTGCCACTCCTTCTGGAACCAAACCTTTGAATAACAGCTGCATTCCATCGCTCTGTGCATAGACGTTTTTATCTGGTATGGCAAATATCACAGTTCTCTCACTATAAGATGCAAAACAAATGAAAAGCGACTTGGACATGACTCTGGAGGGCCATCCGAGGGATGTTATGATTGAAAATGAATTTTCTTTACTTTGTTTTAAGATCCTATTAGGATCAGAAGCAAATAATTCCCATGCAGTAATTGGTTTTTGAATTGTTGAGCCTATCTTGGGACTAAGCTTTAACCACACACAAAAATAAGTAGCCTTCCTCGCCTGCAGGATAGTATCAGACAAGTAGAGTTCTTTATGGATTTTGCCATATGGAAAGCCCTGTCATTCCCAGCTTACAGACTTACAGACAATAAATCTAGGCTAGGCAAATAGCAACATGCCTAAAGGCTATCAAATGATTCCAGCTGGGATTATGACTCCACATCTCCATCCAACACTACCACATTTGCTGCATTACTCATTTGCCATCTCCACCTCCCCAAATATGCCACCCAAGCCTACAAGCTTTGCCCAGAGTAAGAAGAATGAGCCACATACCACTTTGGCAGTCATCCCTGGTTTTACCCTGATGTTGGCTAGTGATGAGTGCAGACATTGACCAGGCTCCTTCCATCCTCCACACAGAAAAGGCGTAGCTGAGCCGCTCGTGAGCCACATAGCTGCAGCTGGTCATCTTATTGTCCATCTCATCACTCTGCAGGACCTGGTAGAGGAAGTCTATGTACCTGGCAGCAAGCTTGAGAGTCTGGATTTTACTGAGTTTGTCAGAAGGCAGGGTGGGAATGATTTTCCCTCAAGGCTGCAAAAGCTTCATTGAGGGACTGAGTCCTCTGCCTCTCTCGGACATTGGCAAGGATCCGTTGGCTTTGGAGCCCTCGTAGGACTGTGTGCTGGGCTGGACTTCTTCCCGCTTGCCTGGGGCTGGACTTCCATCTTCGCTGGACTTCTTGCTGTATCTCCTCTTCCTTCCCAGCCTCTTTGGCTGCCTCTCCAGCTCCTCTTCACTGGTCCCCAGGCTGTCCACAGGAGAAGCAGGAGGGCTAGAACTTTCTTCCATTCTTTCTGTGTAAGGAGGGGAGGGAGAGGGAAAGGAATTCTCCCCTCCTCAAGTGGTGGGTGTCTCTGTGTTTTTAAAAGTGTGCTTTAAATTCCTGAGACAGAGCCTTTGAAAAACAGGAGGGTTTTGCTGAGCAAACGTTTTCCAGGTCTCTTGAAGGGATCTCAATTTCAAGGACCTGGGCTGTGCAAAAATTGAGGTCTTGGAGAGAGGAAGTTATTCTAACTTTTTGGAAACTTTAGCTGAGCTCAGTTGCTAAATAGTTGTCAGAAATGAGGAGATGCAGGGCTGGTTCCTGATTGGACAAGCAGGCCAGTGGGAGGAAGGCATTTCTAGCTAAACTTTTACAGTTTTGTGTTACACTTAGCAAAATCCTGGACATGCACCTCCAGTAAGATACAACTACAACCTTCTCCCCACATCCCAAATTTTGTATGTATATATCTGTGGCTAAGTCAAACCCTCCAAATTAAGCTAATCAGAAAGGAACTGTTTGTTTGTTTGCTGACATGTGTCTGCAAGCCTGTAAAGAAGAATGTCAGCTGAAGCTCCAAACTGTGAAATATAAGTTGAAGGTTTACCGCTCATCCACACTTCCGCTTGTCACACTGTTTTCCCACTGGAAAACCTGCAGTTTACCACTGAATCAGAACAAACGTAATTCGGCTTTTCTGAGGATTGATGTTTGTTTTGATTCAGCGGTAAGCAGTGGGTTTCCCCAGGTAAAGCAGGGGACAAATAAAAACCACCCCGGACCTGGATCTCTAAAGCACGGGGCAAGTGGAAAACGTCCAGGAGACCTGCTTTAGGCGCAGGGCAATAGGAAGTGTAGACAGGCCCTAGCTTATTGGGACATGGAAAAAACAACACCCCAATTATTTTGAAGGTTATTAACCACCATCACATTTCCTCATTACTATTTTACAGATTCCTCTTTCAGAGCCCTCCCCAGCTATTTTATTCCTAATACATATAGGGAATGCCCACTATTCATGTTTTCTTTTTAAAGCAATTCGTAATTCAACAATGAACCCCGAATCTTTATTTGATACAATCTATTTTGGTTCCACACATTACAGGTGAGAACAGTTAATGAATGGCAAATTACTAATGTTTTGATCAGGACTTAAGAGCAGGAGCAAATAAGCCAACTTTCTGAAATAAAAGAAGAGAAAGGAGGAAACTCTTAACTACAGCCTCTAAAACTGGCATTTTCCAATGGAGAATTATCACCAGCAACATAGCTAGAAGCAACCACAATCTGTTGTCTGCTAGATTGATTGGAGAGCTGGAATTCCCTGCTGCAACCAGCTGACTATTATTCAAGAGAAAGCATCACTTTCAGAAGGAAATGTTTTCAGGCTCAGCAGTCAGCACAAAAGTTAAAAAGCATCAAAGATTTGCCAGATTTAAACCTGGTTTTGAGACCCATGGATCTGCTTCATTGTGTTGTGGTGGCCTGTGCAAGGAGCATGCAAAAAGGCTGCGCGCCTAATTCAACAGCCACGTCCATAAATTTGCTTAAACTGGTCATTTGTTGTCCTATAAAAGGTAGCTCTAAAGGAGTTATCCTTAAGCAATCTGAACCAAAAAGCAGGATGCATGTGCAATGGCAGGCGCAGTGGCATCTCAAGTAGTTAAGCAACAAAATGTATTTCTGACTTCACTGTTTTGAAGGTTATATGATGAGACCAAAATATTGACTCAGAAGCAAGTTGACCACTTAACGCATCATGGGACGCACCGGCCATGATGTCCCTACACAGCAGCCTTTATCTACTAATATATGCATTTATATGCACATTTTACACTGGTGTTTGCATTTTTCTACACATTACAAACAGGCTGATTGTCTTTCGGTTACCATCTGGTTTTAAAACAGCACAAATTAGTTTCGTTTGCCTTTAAATATAGACTGAATCAAATGTCTCCTCACCTCTACTTGTCACATAAATGCAGCGTTCAATGTTTTCGTAACAGTTCTATCTTTAAGCCAACCCCCCTTTTTGTTTCCTTTCCTTTTGAAGATTGTATCCATGCCATCACTGCTGACGGTGTGGACCGTTGCAAGGAGATCTAGAGCTTTTCCTGTCTCCGGGAAACTTCCTCCACTGAGAGGCCTGTTTGGCAGATTATCTCCCAGCTTTTCAGAAGTCTGTGGCCCTTTCCCTTTCTTCATGAAGGGTGGGGCTTCACTCAGCTTCTCATGGTTTTTTTCTTATAGATTCTGGTATTATAAAGTTGTTCTCTTTTTTTAGCTTCTGATAGCAGAGTCAGTTTGAGAGCCAAATATGACAAGTTAAACAGGATATTAAATTTTAAACAAACAAATAAAGCGTTGCACCATTGAAATGGAACTCCTTCCCACCATCCACCAAAGAAGTTATTCAATAAGGTGCAAACCTTGCTTGCATGTTTGCTTAGAATAAAAACTCCAGGAAATATATAGGGGAAACTGCTACATAGGGATTTTCTGGAATCTGCTGCAAACATGAGCACTTGCACTGCGTTTTCATTTTTACAGAAACAGACATATAATTTCAGGGCAGGTTTTCTGCAAAAGCAATAAAGGTAATAGGAGTTATTTTTGGCTTGGAAGAAACAGAGACAGAAAGGGAGAGAGAGACCAGTTTCCAAAATTCCACATGCCAGCATTCCCTTTCAAAAACCATTTGCCACAGAGACTGTCATTGGCTCAGGACCCCGATGTGAGCTGTGGGAATCTTTATTTTGCCTCCCCCCAGTCCTCTGGTCAATGTGCTTTCCTTTATTGAAAAGCCATTACCTTTTGATGAATTAAGACGTGGCTGTGCCTGTCTGATTTGACTGAAGAACAGGGAAGGTAAAGCTTCTTGCCTGCTTGTTGTCCCTGAAAAAGAAGGCTCATAGTACTTTCCCAAACATCCAGTTAAATCTCCTGATAAGAAGTTTTGTGGTTATTTTTGTGCAAACGTATTGGGTGGTGCTGAGAAGCTAATGCAAATTTGGCTACTTGCTAATATATTTTAGAATTCATTTGAATGGTCTACAAAAAGGCAAGAACCAAGGTTTTATTGTGATATCTATGTGCAAGATAATATGTTTTCGTAAAAGAAAATTGTGGAGAAATTGTAGTAGTAACCTTATCACAAGGTGACTTTGCCTCCTTCAAGTGGGCTGATGTCTGCATCTGGGAGAGGGAGAAATTAGTGGGCAAGAAGTGGGGCAACAGCAAAAGTACTGTTATGAGTCGGGGGGATGTCTGCCGAGACCCTTCTAATTGCTGGATCCAGCAAGTGTTAAAATCTAATCAAGGGTTCTAATTCTTGGAATAACCAAGCTAGCCTCCTGGTGAGACCCTTTTGGAGTGCTGATGCTGTGAGCCCCTCCATCGTTGGCTCAGGTTGTATTTATCTGGAATGAAACCATATATCATAAAGACACCACAGTCTCTGCTGTGCCTCCTTTCCGAAAGGAAAATGAACCTGGGCCTGGAACCCTGGAATCTTGCATTGCACAGAGATTGGGGTGGCAGGCTGAGAAGAGAGTGGTCCTACAGAGGAGAGGGGCAGGCTGCTTTCTGAAATCCATACGTTCTTCATTCTTGTGATCAGCTGGTGCACTGCTGGCGGAAGAATTAAATTAGAGCAGCTTGGTCATATTACAGTCCCATTGCTTTCCTGTGCCAGAAAAGGAAAATGCACAGCTATAAGGGTCCAAACCAAAATGCATTGATCTTTCTGGAAAGGCATCCAGTGGGTTCAAATAGGCACAAATTTAATCTAAAGAGTATGTTCCTGTTTAATAGTCCTTCCTAAATCCTTGATTTTTATTTTATATTGATTTATTTTTAATTGTGTGCTTCACCATAATTATTTTGCTGGTGAAGTGTGTGTGTGTGTGTGTGTGTGTGTGTGTGTGTGTGTAAAGATAATTATGTAGATTCACAATCTCTGCAGCCAATCTGAGTGCAGCATTCCTACAAGTCATATAAAATAGTTGTTTTGAACACTGTTGGTGGCACAATTAAGAGTTAATTAAATACAGAAATAGAAACTTGCTTTTTTCATTTGTACTTCAACATCTGCACACCAACCAGCATAGTGGTTTTCTGTACTGCAATCATGCATACTGTTAGCAAGTGTTTCACATTATCTTCCATTTTGCCAGCCACACTTGCACACTTGAAGTCAAAGAAGAAGAAACTGTGAGAGCCTGATGATTCTGCTCCTACAATGAGGTTCTCTTTGTGTGTCCTATTCATCTACTAGTATTGGGGAGTGATGGCACAATGTAATAAACAGAGATACATTAGCCGGTGCTTAAATGCAAAGTGCACAGGGCTAAGGAAAAGGGGAGTTTAAGTTGGCAGTGTCTGTGGGCAAAGCAAGCCGCTCTGAGGCCAGCAACTCACGAGCCAGGACCAGGCAAAATCAGGGACAGTGAGTGGTGCTCTGACTGGCAGCTGGCAGGCCTGATGAATCACCCAACTGGACGCACTGCCACAGAACCAGCTGGGATGAAAACATTGATTTTGCAGGTTTCCCTCCCTCCTTCCCTGGGATAAGTGCAAATCTGGAGCAATGAGAGGTAGGAGGAGAAAGACAAAGAAGGTGATGAAGCAAAGTGGCCCAATGCCTTACTTTTTAAGGGACAGGCCTCTGTTTGAAGGGCTCTCTAGTTTTTGTTTTAAAATACAGAGCCATAAGACGGAAGGGTAGCAGGGGCCTTGAAGTTGCCCCTCAACAGCCCTTGGGCAGAACAGACCGAGCAGAAACGGAGCCCACCAGGAGTCTTCACTACAGTGAGATAGATTGCATTGTCTGGATTATAGTAATTATATGTAAACTTGCACACACATGCACATTTTATGTAACTCTGTGTTTTGTGTGTGTGATGTATTTCCTCTTTTTGCCATTGTGCAAGTGGGCACTGTGACGTGGTGGCACAACAGGTACTTTGCCCCATGCCCTTAAGTGGAGAACCCTCCCCTTCCCTCATTTCACCTCCCAGAAACATGGACACC